CCCGGGGTCCCCTCAGGTCTAGTACCCCCGCGAGTCTTGGTTTGCCAACATGACGAGGTTACCAAGCCGATTTCAACGGTCGTTGTGTCGTGTTTAAAAATGACTCGGCTGTCTACAAACGTTTTAACGTTTCACTGAGGACACGATGAGCCACCTGGCGTCGATCGCAGGGCTGAGATTGTGCGGCTAGAGAATCGAAATGATAGGTCAACCTTTGCCCTTGAATTCTGCGGTGGATTTGTGGCCGTGGGTACATTTTAGCTTGGGATTTTTTACTTCGTTCGGGAGGCTGTCTGGACAGAAGTGTTCGGCGTTGTCTTCTCTTTAAGAAGAGAAAACCAGAATTAAAAAAACCGCTAAATCAAGTGAAATCGGTAAAATAACGACAGCAGGAGCAAGCAACACACGTATGTATTAAGGTGAGCCATTTTTATTTAATATTTTCACTTTTAACTATCTCTATGGATATCTTGTAGAAAATCCCATACAAATCCTTATAAATCGATATGCAAATTGTGTTCCTTGTGTGGTTCTCAAAGAGAGCTTGGGCCGCCTGTGTATTCATTTACTAATTTTACATTTGAAAAGGGTATGGACGTTAACTCACCTTCATCTTGAGTTCTTTTGCCATGGTTATAATCCCTGCACTGTTGTTTACAAAGTTGTATCCCTCTTGAAGTCTTACCCTAAGAATTGTAAGTATACAATCTCAATTATATGAGCTGTTTTGCTGAACTGTAACTCTACTAAAACAATCCAAATACAATCCGATTCATTCTTCACCACCCTGAGCCATCCCTCTGCCTTCCTGATTACTAATTGTCTCTTTCGTGTTTTTCTTTCCCATCGAACAAATAGTTTCAAGTATCTTTTTTACTTAAAGGCAGTTCTGCACAGCCCATTTATGACCCAAAGTATCGCGAGGTATATCTTTGCTCCCATGATTTAACTATTAATTCTCCGCATTCTCTACCAGTCAGTCCTCATATCTTTACCTCGGAGAATAAATCAAACATTATCCCTTAGTTAATATCTGCCTTTGTTCTCGTCACCTTTCCGGTTGAAAATGTATTGATACTGTGGGGACAAATTCCTTATTAAAATGGAACGAAAAGGTTAATGGTGTTGCGAGGGACTGTTGGACCGCTATAAACAACTAAAAATGAAATTTCATCCCTTTCGCTCGCTTATTATTTCTTTCTTTGGTTGTTTATATTTTTTCTCTCCCCTAGGAGAAGGGCAAGTAGACTTCATCAAGAATCTGAGAGTGATTCGTCATTACTTATTATGGACCAGCGTTTGCATTTAGTGCTCAAGACAACATCTTCCTTTCCTTACTTTGTTAGGGTAGAAAGCACTCTTGCAACTTTCTCAGCACTTAAGGGTGTCGATTTTTCATCTTGCATTGTCCAAATCCAACGACGGTGATGCAGATACTGACACAGGAGCTTCATACGATTTTCTCTAGCGCCAAAAGCATACAGTCCCGTCGAACTCCCGTACACAAAATAAGAGAGCTGTTCCGGGAATGGGGAAAAGAGGTCCTTTGGAACTCGTTCATATCGAACATAGATCCCATCCAGAGATTTCTCATACATGATCGCGCATAGCTTTTCATCTACAGTCCGCTGCTTCGATAACGTCACGGCACGTTGAAGACTTCTCCCCTTTGCTTGAGTATTTTGAGGCTTGACATTCGCGCCCAGAGGTGCTGTGATTTCAGAGAGTTCTTTCTTCAGGCCCGATACAATCTAGAGGAGACAAATTGCAAACACGCACGGTTAATTTCCTCCTGTCTATCTTTTTAATTTATGATTCACTGGCCCCTTTCATTCGTATCTATTTACCAATTGTTCGCACTGCTCTCATATTTGTTTTTGCTTGTCAACTCGCTCATCCATTTATCCTTACTCCATTAACCTAAGGGTAGAGGTACCGCACTTATTCAATTACGCCTCCAACCTCGAAGCACCCACCCTGTAGGTATGAAAACATTTCTCCGCGCCCAGCCTAACCCGGTCTCCGCAAGGCAAGAGCTAACTATAAATGAGGTTTTTTTTTTATTTTTTATTTTTTTTTGCATCCTTGCTATAAGAACAGTACAGTATCGTTGTATTAGCAGGGCTCGACACTAACGGTAGCCCACTAACCACAGACTAGTAGAAATTCAATGTTGGCAAGTGGTTTTCAATTTCCACTAGCCAGTTTGGCTAGTTACCAGACTGAAATTGTCGTAACATCTAAAAACATCTAAGATGTTGCAAGCCACTTGGCGAGTAAGTTGAAAAGTTAGTGTTGAGCCCTGATTAGGACTGTAAAATGTCACTTACCGTATGTCTTATGTGGCCAGCAGTTCCTCCGAGAAAGGCTACCTTGATAAGAATGCAGGGTCCACTCGCTGTTATTCGCACAATACAGAAAGAAGAAGGAGCTCCCTCAGGATTTTCGCTGTTGGAATCAAAACCGTACACAGGCGTTTAACAAAGCAATTGACTAAGAAACATTTTGTGTGTATGCATGTTACTTTGACCCTCTACACCCTAACATCAGTATGCATATTCTCCATACTCTTCTCTATACACTACCTGAATTGCTGACAAGGAGAATGCGTTGGACAATCAAGAGCTTCTTTAGTTGATGATCATTTCCGTTATTCTCATGACTTTAATGTTTGATTCAGGGGTGCCGGATATTGTAAGGAGAAATTAGATGCTGGTCACTCTTAAACACAAACAACACGTTTTAGAATAATATTGATTGATAAAAAAAAAAAAACCGCTCGGTACCGCGGACTTAAAAAGGGCAAAAAAATAATATTCACCTCGCAATGAACTTGATATAACAGTGGTTTTCCAGCAACACAAATGAGCTCCAGTTTCTAAGAAGAGAGGTGAGTGACCTCAGTGCAACCCGACACTGGATTGCACTGGATCTGTCATTTTCCATCGGAAGATGAAGATTCTTTGGCAAAGGGCTGCAATAAAAGCAAAGTAATACTCAATAACATGAGTATTCTGCTCTTAAATCACAAAAATATTCGTCACACTCACACATCGTGTTCCAGCACAAGTCCAATTCTATGGCAGTGCATCCACCTTTGCCTAGAAAAAAAGCAACATATTTACAAGATAATTTAATTTTATCGAGTGAATTCATAAATAAACTGGCCAACGTTAAAAGCTGACGTTTCAAGCGTTGGCCCTTTGTCAGGGCGAGGAACGATGGGCTAAATCTAAAACCACTCCTGGTTCGAGAGAGAGCGGGGTGTGGTAACCAATATGCACGGAAGCACATCCTTTACCGATGAGGTTACAACAGCCAGTATAATTATAAATATACTTACCATCCAGTCGTATCGAGAGATAACACTGGCTTCCAGAAGACAGAAAATTGGGACTCCTGTGATTTGGAATTCTTACTGAAATCATGAAAGTATGACAACTTTGAAAAGCCTTTAATTATTGAAAAGGTTCTCAATAGTTTTTTTTCTCGTTGTTCTACAAAACTACAGTTCCTAAACCGCAGTGCAGAACAAGGGCATTTACAAATAAAGTGGTAATAATAATAATAATATTAATAGTGACAAAAATATTATAATAATGATACATAATTATAATAATAATAATAACATATAATTCACATCTTTTTGGGTTCCTCATATCATTTGAAAATTTCTTTAATTTACTAATTATTTTAGGCTACGGTAATGACAAGCTACGCGATTGCGCCTTGTCAATATCTCATTTAAGGAGGCATCCTTACGTTTTACTTCCCACGATAATAATAATTAAAATATGTTACTTGATAGCCATCCTCTTAGAAATAAATTAGGTATGATTAGTCCAAGTGAATCAAATTACTTCAGTAGCTTTCATAAATAGCTAACTCAGGAACTTTAACTGAAAGACTGAATCAAATAGAAATGAAAAGTAGGAAACACTTTTTTATTACCTTCCATGTTGCAGTGACAAAACCTAAAATGAAACCAAGTGGACAGTACATGTAGGAATTGTTGATACATGAAAAAACTGAGATATCTTTTATAATGCAATAAGTTAATGAACACAAGAACATCAGTGACACACCGGCCGGATTATTTACAAGAGGTCTAACCCAAACCGCGATTTTACGCAAGTAGCGTTACGTATTCTCTTTAAGAGAGATTTTTTTTTTCATTAAAATAAACGTTCCCCCACGGTTAGCTTTCGGCCCTCGTGAGACTGTTCACGAATTTAAATGTTCATATAAAAGATTCAGCTAGATTCAAGACAGTTAAGAACGCGGTTTTGTGAGACAACGGCTAAACTTTGTTTAAATAACCAGCCCAACGGGTTGCACTTCGTATGCCACTTTTTGGTAAAGGCGACGACGCGTTGGCAGACGCGTTGGTGAGATCGGATTTTTTACTACCAACACACCACCGACGCATCTTGTATGTTATAACGATGAAAGGTGATCAATGCGTCGGCCGATAGTCGGTCCATAGTCGGCCGACTGTGGATCAACGCATCGGCCGACGTGTTCATTATTTGATACTTACAAGTTCGTTAGAGTTTGGTGGAAGGTAGAATAATGGAACTCCTTTTTTTACACTCTCTGGTATGGTATAATATATGGGATTGGACGAAAAAGACTGGAGATGAACAAGCATTTGATCTGTGCTCTGTAAACTGAAATTAGGCAAACATTGCATTGCCAGTCAATGTATAATGTTTAGAAGCCAAGATACACGATTTCAATAACAATTAAAATGTATCGTATTTTGATGATAGAAATGAGAATTACCTTTTCATGAATTGCTGGAATCTTTTGACAACAAGTGTTCTGGAAAAGTTGAATTAATCAAATAGCGTATGACTTAAATTTGTTTAACCAAGAAAAGGTTCATGGCTGAAAGTTTCAGTTAACTGCTCCTTTCTTAATCCTGGAGGCTATAACAGCCTGAGAGCAGGCACTCATTATCACCAATGGAACACAAGCATTCTTAGCCTACCTGAGTCTTTGAGTAAAGCAACCGGGCAATTCAGGCCTGCTAGGAACCCAAGCAAACCGCTCCCCAGAATAATAGTCTCAAATCTTCCCATGGACAGAAAAACGTGCATCCCGCAATGCTAATAGCTAGGCAGGCTTCTATTTTAACTAAGTTGCAAAAAGGCNATAGCAGACAGATCTAATGGAACCTAGGAGTGAAACAGTTTAATTCATACAAAAGTTACCTGTAGGGACTTTGAAAGGGCTTTGTAAAATGCATCACATCATGAAGAAACTCATACGGTGCCTCTATTGTCACCTCCACATGTGTCACACAACTGAAAGAAGAAACATTAACATGTGTCACACAACTGAGAGAAATAGTATCAGCATATGTCACACAACTGAGAGAAATAGCACCAGCATGTGTCACACAACTGAGAGAAGAAGCATTAGCATGTGTCACACAACTGAGAGAAGAAGCATAAAGCGTGAAATTTTCTTATGATTGCTGAGCAAAGAGCATAAACCCCATAGAAATAGCTGTCACGGTTAAACTCAGGGAATTAGTAGCTCTACCTGGCTTGACTTATTTTTATTCTTGACTTTTTCTGGCCTACCATTCCTGGCCAAATACACTTTATTTTCCATCAATTTTGATGAGAGAGCCCATGAATTCCACAAAATCATTGTATTTCTACCAACTAGGCTTCTTGTACATACACTGTAGAAGATAATTTGGCTTTACCATCTGAATTGAGAATACTGTAAAGAGTTTTCAAAGCTGAACTTTTGAGTATTAGACCTACAGCATTTGTTTTGACAGAGGGTTAGCTCAGTTGAGAAAACCAAATTATTTTTTAATATCCCCTTTCAATGCAATGAGTACCTTCAGAAACTTAGCTCCTCTACTTCTATGTATACAAACTAATTTGTCAAGAGCTAGGCCCATAAAGAGTCAGTGGTATAAGTGATACTGTTGTGTATCTGATTTATTATGCTGTATAATGCTTTCACTGACCTGCTAGAGGAGAGGGGCCAAGTCTGTTGAAACAGAAAAAAAATAAAAGATAAAATAAAAAGATTAAAAAAAATACAAAAATGACAAAAAAGACATGAATAATGCTGCACTTGCTGCGTGCACGATGTGCACTGGAGAAATCAAATGACAAACCTTCATGTATGTGTAACAACAATCTACAGTTATTATTAGAAAACAATAAAAAATTACCGAAAAAAAAACTTACTGAGAGAGCTAAGTACTCAATCTGTACATTATGCTTCCAAGGAATTGTTAGCTTGACTTGAAGCTGCTTTCCACCTTGTTGAAAAATATATATTTTTTAATTAGGTAGCAAATGTGTAGACACAGCTGCAGTAACATGGAAGGGGTACCCCAGTAAATTTACATTAAGATGGTCCACAGAAGAAATGTCTTTAATATTTCCATGTCATTATTTGGAAATTATCAGTAAGTAAAAATGAAAGACCTGAACCGTTTGACCTCTAAGAGTGACTAAAGATTCTCTTTACAGCATCACTCCCGAATCACACATGAATGATCACCAAATGAAGAAGCTACTGATTGTCAAACTAATTCTTTTGGTGAGGACTTTATAATAATTATGTATGGAGATCAAATATGCATACTGCTGTTGAGGACTGTAAAGAGTTCATTTAAAACACATCCTCATACAAAAATTAATGTAAGTACCTTTTGCAATGGAAACATCCTGAATTGAATACCCTTCTCTGAGACGCACACTGAGAACACTACACACATACAAGAAGAAGAAAAAGAAGTTCAAGTTTTATCTACCCCCATGCACTGCTGGTCATTATTCTCAGGGATGGAGCTGAGAGATTAGGCTGAAAATTCAAGTTATGCAGCTCAAAGACAACCTTCAATATTGAACAATTTTAAGTTGCCATTTTACTTTACCAAGTGATGTGCTTAACCAAGTGATCCCCAGCCTAAAATCTAATCAGCGATTGCTGCTTTTTAATTTTCGAAAATTATACCGTGGTTGGTCATAAGCGAGAGACTCACACCCTTACCTTGTAATGCTAGTTTGTAGCTTTGTCTCCAAATGTCTTTTTGGCATTGATGGTTGCATAGCATTTTGTTCCCACTCACTCAATGCATAAGACAATGATCTACAATGAAAAAAAAAATTAATATCAAAAATATCAAAATTAAAAAAAAAAAAATACAACTGCACAGTCCCGATCAGCCCTTAACAGTTTTGTTTGTTTGTTTGTTTGTTTGTTTGTTTTTTTCCACTCCACTTTCCTTTCATTTTCCTTGAACTGATCCAATCAACACTTATTGATGGGAGAATGAAATTTATTTGGACTTGTGGCTTGAAAATAGGGATTTGCCCACCATGGGGGCAAAATTATATCTAAAGGGACCTGCAGTTAGACACAATACAAACCCCTGGATACCCCAGGTACCTTCACTTCCCTTTCAGCATAGCAGCTGGTTAATTTGCTTCCTTGAGAATAGTCCTTTTTACAGTTGTGGACTTGGTGGCCAAGCCTTTGAACAGGAGTGAGGCTAAGGGTGACCCTGTTGTGATAGAGACCTGTATCTAGTTAGCATGATAACAGAGAAATTTGCATTTGAAAAGCAGCAACATCTCTATCATAACAAGGTCACCCTTAGCCTCACTCCTGTTCAAAGGCTTGGCCACCAAGCCCACAACTGTAAAAAGGACAATTTAACCCAAAATCAAACACTAACTATACATACACCTGTACCAATATATTGTTGTGAATACCTTTTGCCTTTTAATGCCCATGCCAAATCTTCCTCACTCAACTCCAAACAGTCACCTATTGTCAGCATTCATTCAGCAATTATAGAGAATGTTGGAATTAGTAATTAAGAATCAAATTAGTTATCCTATAATACAGGGCTCGAAATTAACGGTAACCAATTAACCAATGGCTAGTACTTTTCAACGTTTGGTTACTAAAAAGGTGTCCAACTAACGCGACATGGTTAGTAAAATTTTCTAACACATTTAAACATTGGTAGACCTCAGGACAAAGAGCACATAGACCTGACTCTCAGAGAAATACTTAGAATACTCAAGTTGAATAATCAACTTAAACTCTTTTTAGAGGATGTGCTGTAGATGTACTGTTCTTGACTAATCATGGTAAACGAGAGGGAAATAAAATAGGTGCATTTAATTGTCAACGTTTTTAAATCAAATCATAAATCAAATCATAATCTTTATTTCTGAAGATAAAATCACATATCCTAAGTTACAACATAAACTCACAAGGGAAATTATTACATGTCATATTCAAAAATTATCCTATTACTAAAAACGTTCTTAAACCTTTCAGTGTGGATTCTAGGGACAGAGACTGACGTATTTCTAAGATTGTACCTTGTGTTCTTTTCCTAAGGTAAAAACTGGAAAAATGGGCATTCAGGGTCATTCAATCTTGCAATTTCAGCTACTCTTTAATTTGTCCTAATAATTATTATCAAAATGTTCAATATTTGAGATATCGTAACTTGTGAGCTTGGATACCAAACTTGAATATATAACCCAAGAGCCCCACTGTGGGAAACCATAATGAAAACTGACATGTGTACTGGGCCAGATGGGTTGATATGGGAATTTGGTCCAGGAAAATTGTCCCCTTTTTCCAAAGATATGAATTCTAATTGTGGTTTGAACTTATGGTAAAGCAAAGCAGAATTAAAAATGAGAAAATAATGCATGTTTCTCTTTGAATTGTGGGTTTATCTAATTATTTACCTATCCAGGAATCGATCTTGCTCAGGTCAAAATCTCTCTGAAAGTTCCAGCAAAGCAGAGCTTTGTGATAAAGGTTCATGCTGAAATCCTCTATGAAAAACACAAACAGGTGAATACATTAACACTAACTGTTATGAACCCTTTAACTCCCAACCTCTGATTGTGAATTCTCCCCTCTAGCTGCTACACATTTCCTTCTAAATTAGTTACGAGAATTTGGTGTTAGATCAAGATAAAAACTTGTACCTGATAAGTTTGAGTATTCTCATTACCTGTTTGCTGGATAATGTAGGGATATTATAGAGAGAAGTTACATCTTAATCACTTCTAGTAGTTTAAAGATTACACAAAATAATTTATAGATTGAAATGGTATGAAATTATTTATCCAGAACTTATTAGAGAAAACACAACATATCTAAGGAATTTGGGCTCATCCTGCTTCGTGTAAAAACCTGTGAAGCTGACGAGTGACGTAAAACAAAGACAACAAAACTTTATAAACAATAGCGTACAGCAAAACAATACCTCATAAAACAAAGAAAACCTCGTCAGGTTTTTACACCGAGGATGACCTGAAATTTGATAGTCATTCTTCATCCAGAAAATTTTCTTGCACATTTTACAATTAAGACTGTGCTTACCACATTCATCTACTTTTTTACCATCTTTTGAAACCTAGAGATATTGAATAATTATTACATTGCCAGTTAGTACATGCTCCATGAGTGGTCAATTTAGAAGGCTGTATTTCACTGTATTTCACTGTATGGAGTCTTAGACTCAGTTAGTGAGGGGTACGTCAGGAAAAATCTCAACCATCTTTGAAAGACACAGCTGAATTCAGAATTCACATAAAATGGCTGTTCTACCATTTAAATCATATAAGAATTCCTCGTAGCTATCAGATTCATTTGATGCATATTGATGTTAAATGTGCAACATTAAGGTTCAAAACAGTTTTTCATTGCCTGTAGCTTGGCTGAAAGCTTTCTCCACTAAACTAAGAAAAAGGAGAAAAAAGGAGATACCAAGGTCTCCTACATACTAATGTCATGTTTCATTGTATCTTCCATTGAAATTAACAGAGAAAAGTGTTTTCCACTCACTGGGGGTGCCTTAGCAAGGTATGCACCTGAAGTGGCCATGGCGATAAACTGCATCATGTCACAATGTGGGACATAACCAAAGCTTGGAGGAAAAACAAAATACAGTTGGTCACTTTAATAGAGCGAAAGCTAAATTCTTTTTGGGATTATTGAGAGTTGCCAGTAAGCCTTCAACCTCCAAGACCATTACAGTACCACTCAAATGAAAGTTATCACCATCTACAGAGAGGTGTCTTGTTTCTATAGACTTGAGACACATCTTGTTTCATTCGAGTTTTTTCTTGTTTCTTGCAAGTGCACTGCAAGTACCAATAGTTTGCATTGTTGTGAAACACAATGCCAGTGTTTGATTACAATAATGTGAGTGTTGGGTATTATAAACTTGCACTGGCAAATCAATTAATAACAATTAATAATTAATTAATTAATAAAAAATCGTGATCATTGGATTGAATAAAGTAATAAGTACTGTCAGTTATAAATTAAAGGGGAAATATTTTATGACGCACGCTGGAACTAAACAAACAACAACAAAAATGTGTACACTGTAATGCATTTCATTTAATGTTTTTAAGGGAATCTACCTGCAGTGGGCATGAAACCCACTTCCAACTTTAATAAAAGAACAGCACACAGTGCTGGCTCTAAGCTGTGCCATAAGAGAATCAACTGCCATAGCATCAGGAAGGGCAAAAACACCATCTGTGATCACAACAGCTCCTATGTATCCATACAAAAGAAAAGCATTCAAAATATTCAATACTCTATTTTCAAGAATCTGACTTACATTTTTTAGTATAATTATATCAAGTGATTTGATGATTAATGGAAGTTTAAAAAATGGCTATCACAGTGACTATAATAATCCTTTGGCAAAATACCCTATTCACCAGCAAAACATTTTACTCAAAGAATGTCAGAAAAAGAGAACTGCAAAACTGAATTTTTTGTAGGTTTCAACTCATCATTAGGTTGTATTTTTAAGGTGCTAAACTTAAAGTTGAAAAATGTTGCTCTAAGCTGCAGCTTCTGTGAATCAAGAAAAATATTTTCCACCCTTAAAACATGATTGTTTAAGCTTTTGTATGACTAGGGTATAAGCTTAAGAAAGATAACACTTGACAATGCTGCAGGCTTGATATATAATACAGGGTGATAATACAGTGGGAACTTATATGCCACTCCTACATGACTCCCTTGGGAGGTTTTGCTGGTCACATGACTTTTGGCTTGAATCGCCATGTGCTCGGGTTTGCAAATGTTTTTTTAGTTTTTATCCATTGAAGAGAGTTTTAAAAAAGCGTTATTATGTCTTTTGTTGGCTTAAGCAAATGGTTCGGTAAGTTAATATTAATATAATTGTTTTTTTTTTGTTGTTCAGGCAGGTATTTAGAGTTTAATGCCTTCTTTTGTTTGTAATTTTCAGAAAACCTTTCACTTGCAATTTCACTTGCACCTTTACTTTCACTTTCACTTTCACTTTCAATTTGACCGAGGCCATGCGGCCAATGTATGAGCTCAAGTTATTGACGTTTGTTTTAGATAAATAAACACAGTACTACAGCATTGACATTATAAGAGGAGAGAAGAGAACATACCAGCACTTGCATTGCCTGGAAGCAGCTGTAATGCCAGGAGAGCATTCCTTAAAATTGACATTGGACCAGTCTCTGGTGACATCGGTGGCACTGGGCCATGTGACATTCTCCTCTGATCACTCTCTGTTTTGTTCATCTTAATTGGAGTATCAAATTAGTCCATTAATATTTTATGCAATGTACTTACAATTCTAAAAAGGTTCAATCGGTGCTTAGAATAAAGCCTTAGGTTAAGTCTAGTTGCAAGCCAAGTAGTCAAAAAAGCCAGACTTATCCAAATTTCCATGGCATGAATTAAGCAACTCAGGAGTATGAATACTCCCCCCCCTGAATGCCATGCCAGTCCACTGCAAGGTTATTCCCCGAAATTTTTTTTTCCCTAATACCCACAGACCCTACCTCATCACTAGAGCATGTATCACAGTACGGCATAGACTTAGTCTTGGCTAAATAGTCCTCCTGCTCCATTAGCTGCTTGTGTACTGTCTCCAGAACAAAGTTGATATTTTCTTCAGTAACAAGGCAGCCCTGGATAAGAATCTTGAAAAAAAAAAAAAAACAAACAAACAAAAAATAAGTAGCCTTTGTTTGCTTTACTGGCCATAAATGTAACTATAAAGTTAAAATAAGTAAAGAACAAAAAAAATCTGGAGGTCAACTGAAGAGAAGTATGATATTTCTCTATTTGAAAGTGTCAATCGTACATACATGCATTAATTCAAGCAATAGACTACCTTGGGTGAACTGTTGTAATTAAAAAAAAAAGGTCCATACTCAAGACAAGTGCCCTGACCAGCCAGAGCACTGTAATTTAAAAAAAGCTTAAGTCCGTACTCAAGACAAGTGCCCTCCAGCCAGACCTTATCCTAGTTTCCATGGCATGAAGGGAGTAGGTGTACTACTATGCCCCCATGGGTAAGATGCCATTTCCATAACAAGGCTACCCCCTGCATTTTATCACCCTTCTGTATTCCAGGGCCAAGACTCTGAGAAACAGTGAGAGGTAAGTATTTTGTTCAAAATGATAACTCTCGGTCCCAGACTGATCTTGGACCCAGACCTCTTGACCCATAGTCCGGATCCAGTGCACTATCCATTAGGCCACCAAGTCTCCCACATGAAAATGTGTAAATTATTAAGCTACATATTAATTATAATTTATAATACTCAACAGGAATAATATAAATCAACCCACTTGAGGAACTTCAGGATTCAAAATGGAAGTATATGCTAAGACAGTGATGTACAACTCAGGACGTAAAACAATGGGGTTACCAGGAACGGAGAACTGCAAAGAAAGTGAAAGTGAACATTTATCTTTT